GAAGGGTCGGCATCACTGTTGCAGAGCTCTCGGTGAGACGGCCCACGGTGGACACAGGCCGTAGGTCCCCATCGCTGGCCTGGGCACATCACAGTCACTCCTGTGTCTTAGACTTGGGGATGCTGTCACCTGAGTCTATTCTTCATCCTAAGTCAGCATTTCATAGGAAACTTTTATAGATAGGAATTCTTTAGGCTGCAGCTGTCGAAGAAGCAGGGAGAGCTTGGAAAATTGTCATTAACATTCTGGAATCACATTTTCTAACCAGAGTTTATTAATTTTCACAGCAGTCTAAAGTTTTCGTTTTCTCGGGGGCAGGGGGTGGGTGGGAAGAAAACCTGAAGAAATACTCGGATTAACAAGGAGACAGATGATGCAGATACCGAGAATGTAATGAGAATTTCATATGCTGAGAGGTGAGGTGGCCTTTTAATTTCTGTCGCCTTTAAATGCGTGCGTGTACATGAAAACCCAGCTACTCAGACACACACATTAAATGTCCCATTCAGGACTATCAGACACTGCAGTAAAGATAAAAACCAAGTGACATGAAGGGTGACCGTTTTACAGTAACCTCAGCTCTTCTCCTTCAGGAGTAATTCAGTTTGGGAGCACGTTTCTCGACTTCCACGCTTACACTGTTTTGTGTTCTCTTTCATGGTGTGGTTGCCTGTGCAGCGGCCGTGCTCAGTTCTTGCTGGCAGCATCTGTGTTGCCTTAGAGTTTGTGGATGTGAGACTCTTACCGTCCCACCTTGTGTGCTGCTCAGAGTGCCCAGTCTCTCCCAGTGTTGGCCAGTGGAATCTGCTGGGGCTTCTGGGAAGAATGTTCCTTGTTCAGGGGAGGGACTGAAGATTCCTTCCCCGCTCACTTCCTGCTTTTTGCCTTTCCCTGTGGTGATGCGTTGTCAGCAGCTACCTTGGAGCCAAGGTGGGGAGACTCAGAGAAGCTGACTCAGCTTCCCAGCCCGTTCCAGAACTGCCTCTGGGGTGCTTTGTTGTGTGAGAAAAACAGGCCTTTGTTGCTGAAGTAACTTGTTGGATATGTTGTAAATTATTAGCCAAAGGCCTCCTAAATGATGTCAAGTCAAATTTTATTATCAGTAAAATGGCCTGAAAATACTTACTTTTTTGTTGAATTTGATATTATTCTTTGACATTATTCTTTGTGGCTAAAGGACTGATTTTTTTAAATTATACAGTAAATAGGCCGGGGATTTAGCTCAGTGGTTCGGTGGCCTGCCTTGCAAGCGCAAGGACCTGAGTTCAATTCCCGGTACCAAAAAAATAAATAAAATAAAATAATACAGTAAAACGTTTGGCCAAACCAGGAATTATCAGAAATCCTTCAATATTCAAGCATTTCTCTTCAATTTTTAGAAAAAGACCAGCATACTCAGTCTCTAGTACTAATTGATACAGTATAGTGAAGTATTTTATAAGAGACGTGATGAGCTCTTGTTATCTGAAGATCTACACAGGAAAACAGTCAACATATAAACTCTGCAGTATTTGATTCACAATCAATGTGCTCAGTGTAACTTCTCTATTAGCAGTAAATAACTGGAAAATGACAGCACCTATAACCATAACGAAAAAGTATAAACTATCTAGGAATTAAAGTACCCTAAGTTTTATGGGGGAAAATGAAAAGACTATTAAAACCACAAAAGCATAGCAAAATATATTCTTGGAAGAGATGCTAACAGCTTAAAGATCAAGTTCTTCAAATTTAAAAATTCAGTGCAGTTACAGTCAATATCCAAGGTTGACTTTTTAAGGTAAAACTAATTCTAAGTTTAGTTTCAAGGGGTAGAATCTATGATTAGGTCAACTTTGAAAAAGAAGAACAAATAATGAACATTGAGCAAAGCTGTAAGGAGATGGTGTAGTGTAATAGCAGATGAATGGAATGTAATAGTTCAAGACGTGCAGGTATAAGAACACTGACTATTATGTGATAAAGGCTATGCAGACTGGTGATCGTGAAAATGCGTAGCTCAGAGTTGCTGTGAGAGAAGCCCCTCTGCATCCACACCGGGTGCCCGGGCAGTCACAGGACGAGCCCTCCTCCTGTCACCCCGCCCACACAGCGTGGCACTCCTGATGGATCGCTTTGCTTTGGCAGCTTCCTGTTGGTTGACCAGAGCTCTCTTGAAAGTACACTGTGGGGTGAGGCTCCCCCAGCCAGTCCTTTGCAGGTGCTAGACGTTCTTATCAGTGGTCTTTGTGGCACGCTCCTCTGTACCCTTCACGGATGTGTCTAATCTCTGGCACGCTGGCTCTTGCTCTTGTTTTTTGAGACAGGATTTCCCTATGTAGTTCAGTCTGGCCTCGAATTCATGGTGATCCTCCTACCTCAGCCACCTGAAGCTGGAATTACAGGTGTGCACCACCACGCCTGGCCCTTATTAACCTCCTGCACGTCTCAATCCACCCTGGCATCTACTTCCAGGAAGACCCAAACCAACATACTGAAAAAAATCATGAATAGACTGATTTTTTGAATTAATGTTATTGAAAGAAACTGCCCTTGTATAAAGAAAACTATAGGGCTGGGGATTTAGTTCAGTGGTTCCGCCGCCTCACAAGTGCAAGGACTCAAGTTCAATTTCCCATACCAAAAAAAGAAAAGATTGTATATCCACAGGGTATGAGTGTGTCCTGTGGCCTGATTGTGCCAGCATGGACACAGCCCCACTCCTGGACCTGTAGCAGTCATTCAGGAAAATGTGATTGGCTGGACAAAGTGACAGTTCCCTCTTGTCGCTGGGAACTGGGTGGAAATCAATTGCAAAACCGAACTCTGACAAATGAACTGATATGACTATGACCACCCAAAAGAGAAAAGACAAAGAACGTATTAAAAATACCAGTAAGATGACTCAGGAGTGGATACTGATCTTGCAGACATTAAAAAATTGCTCAGGGAATGCTACAAATAATGCTGGATTCCCTAGTTAGAGAACTTTGGTGAAATGAACCCATTCCTTGGAAGAACTCTCAAATCACCTAAATTCAAGAAGAGATCATTTAAACAGCGCTGTATCCGCTGAAGATTACAGCTGAGTGCTGACTTCATTGCTGCAGGTTTGCCAGTAATCAGTGAATTCTCTTTTCCCACAGGTGACCAGTGCCGCACCGGTTAGGGTCTGGCATCCAGGTCCCCGTGGGAAACGAGCACGCCTCAGTGAGACTGCTGTACTCTTACTGGTGGGATCGTGCAGCATATGCACGGGCTGAGCACACACAGCTTAACAGCCAGTTCACAGAATCCTGCAAAGAGCAGTCAGCTCTTGCACGCGAGGTACCCCTGCCCGAGCACAACTCTAAATTACTAATGTTGAATTGCTGTACCTGGGCTCAGGTTCCCCAGGTCCTCCATTGGCTTCAGGGACCAGAAATCCCTTCCCACAAATCCCCCCTCATCAGGATACCCAAGATCAAAGGACGGTAAGTAAAGCACTCTTTTTATCAGAGTCTTTGCACTAAACTACATCCCCAGCAAACCACCCCTTTATTTTGAGATAGGGTCTCACTTGTTCAACTTGAAATTCTCCTGCCTCAGCCTCCTAGAGCTCTAGGATTACAGGAATGTGCCACATCACTCAGCTTAGTAAAACACTTTCTAAAGGGAATACTACTTCACCAGGAGCAGTTTAAAGAAAGGATTTTTGGCCACCTGGAGAGACTAAAGATGAAGAAAAGAAACTCAGGAAGAAGTCTTCCCTGCCTGTGAGGAAAACTCAGCTCTGAGCTGTCAGTGTCATTTAGGATAGGCTAGGACTTCACAGAATCACAACTTGCATGGAAAACATTGTAGAGGATGTGGAAAATGGGATTCCTCATACACTGTTGCTGAGATCATGAAATGGTGCAACCACTTTGGAAGAGGGCTTGCTATTTTCTTAAAAATTTAAATATCAATTTACTTTATCATCTAGCAATCCACCCCCGGAAGGCCCCGCCCACAGCGGGCCCCGCCCTATGGTAGGCCTCGCCCTCGTCCGCCTGCCACCGCGCCTGCGCAGCATGCTGCGAACCTGCGCCGACTCCCAGAGTCCTTTGGGGTGCAGTTCTGCATTTAGGCGTGGCTTGTGCTTCCGCCCAAACCCAGGCCCAGAGTTTACCGATACCCAGCTGGAAGGCGCAATCCTGGAGCGAGTGGCCCGGAGCAGAGCTAACGGTCACAGCCTGGGTCCGGAGCGAAACCCGCGCTCGGAACTACGTTTCCCAGCG